CGTGCCCGCGATCTTCGACGTGCCAGCGTCTGCCTCTGAGCACAGCCACCTGTACATTCGGTAGGTCGCGTCTGCTCACTTTCGTATTTTTGTTTAACTGTTTTTTATGGAAGAAGTTACGTTGGGGTTGTCTTATGGGTAATTGATGTGATTTGTCGGGCTATATATTTTGTTTTGATGTGTATCAGTTTGTGTTGTTGGCCTGGCATCCTGAATGTTTGTTTGCTGTTTTTTTTCTGTGCTTGGTGCTGTTTCAAGCTTCTGTTCAGTTTGGTGATCATTTCTTTATTGTGGAACTATCAGACTCTCCTGTCACGTGGCACGAGACCTTCCACCAGTGTGTTTGTTTAAACTGAACAAACCGCTCCTGAAGCTTCATTCCAGACAGAGTGTTTGAGAATAATGTGACAATAGTGGGTGTTTAATGATATTAAATGAACTGTAATGGTGAACATAGTAGGATGTAATAATAGATCGCACAGAGTTATACAGTAATTAATAGAAGTCACAAATTCAAATCAGCTGCGGGGTCCACTGCCTTTATTTCCTTTATCACAGCTCTTTAGCAGTGAACAAAGTAAATATAAGAAGTCCATATAATGTGTAATGTACTGCATAATAGTTGATATAAATCATCACTACAAACAAATCCAGAACAACATAAAATTGTATAAATAAAGATTTAGAATACCAGATTTTTGTGGTCTTTTGTGTATTGGTCTTCTATTGGTGGGTTAATTTTAAAGATTGTTTTAAAGAAAAAATTTATCATTAAAACTGATGGTAGATCCTAAATAGAGATTTGGTAATGAAGAATGTAAAAATATCCCATAATTATAATTACTGACTACTTTTAGTTATGCTGCTATAATGTTATTATTATTTGGGTTTAGAAGGTTGGATTGTTGTGACTTTAGTCCGTAGATGGGGTTGTGTCGTGTTTTGAACGAGTCTTTTCAATTAATAATCATCAGTTATAGTTGCAAGTTTATTTGGTATATTTTCGGCAGTTGTGGTGCGCGAAACACGGGTTTTGCTATATCAGCTTGGTATTGTAGGGTCCCAAGGTTTGTGCTGTCCGCGTTTGTTAATTTAATAGGACTACACCTGGTTAGCGAAGTTTACGCATGTTCCATCTGTGTATTGATGGTACCGTTACTTTTTTATACTAATATCAATCATTCTCCTTTCACACGGTAATCTGATTGCGGCCCTTCCAGTGGCATGACTTATTCAGGGAACTTATGTTGCTTGATACATAGCGTAGTGGGTTTTGGTATGCCGTTGGTTGTTGCATTGCAGTGTTATTTGTCATTCTTAGTCCAATCGACTTTTGCGCGGGACGTGTTTTTTGTGCTGGTGTTGTTGTTGATTGTCTACTGGGGTTGTGTGTGTTAATCCGTGGGTTAGTGGTGGACTCTCTCTGATGTAGATATCCTATAGGAGGATTCTGGACGGAGGCAGTAGGTGGTGCTTAGCGGCGATATTTGGTGCTAGTGGATGCGAGCACTGTGTGATATGCCTGTTGATGAGGTAGATGGTTGATAATTATTCGGGTGGGGATTGACTATGTATGTAGATGATGTAGACTGTGTGTTGCTTGTCTTGCTTGATGTTTTTGGCCATGTAGGCTTCCTGTTTTAGTGGTTCTGAAGCTGTCTGCATGTGTCTAGTAGCTGGTAGCTTACCAGTCTCTCTATATGGGATTCTTCATTTCAGCGAGGCCTTGAGCTACTCGACGCTTGCTGGCGTTATATAGTGACTTGTATTCTTTTTGTTTTTTGTTTTTTTTGGTGTGGATTTGTGATTATAGCAAGTGATTTGTTATTTATGGATTATTATTATTTTAATAATAGGGGGGATGTACTGTTTATTAGACATATATCTGTGTAACATATGTATGTTTTTTTCAACCATTACACCAGCCGTTGTTAGTGGCAAAACAATTGATTCTGAAATCTAAGTTATTGTGGTGATGGAGAGCAGTCAGGATTTGTGTCCAATCCTTCTTGTAGGAAGACCCTGCAGGTAAATGAAATATCAATCCAGTGGTTCACGTAAAATTAGACCTTCATGCATCACTGGAATATTATTTAAACTAAAAATGTCTGCTGGTTCTGGTAATGAAAAGGTTTTTCATCTGCACAGTGTTTTTTTATGGCAAGTAATTTGATTTATGTGGAGGTAAACTTTCCAGTTTTGTTTTAAACAATATTTAGTTCAGATAATGTGAGTAACAGTTAGTGCAATTTATATTTTTATATAAATAATATAGCTATATATTTAAAGGCGTTTCGGAGTGAAATTCAAATTTTATAAGTAATAATGAATGTATGAAAAAGGGTTTAAATGGCTGATTCCTGTCTGGTTTTATGTTGATTCACTGTCCTTATCGACCTACAGTGTTGCTTTCCTTTATTTTAATGGCTCAACTAAAAAACAAAAATAGGTCAGTTAAAGAAGCTATTTCATCATATTTGGATCTTTTAATTATGAGTCCAATGCTATTTGTTTTGCTTTTATTTCTGTATTTCCACATTCAAATGCACTAAATACTCATTTAATCAGCGTTGTTTCTCTTTTGAGACCTGATCATTGTTACTGTAAAAATACAGAAGAGAAATACACAAGACAAAAGAAAAGATGTTCCAGCAATTGTTTCAAATGCATAAAAGTGATGTTTTAACACATATAAACATACAAAGAACTGACGAATAAAGTGGCTGCAGGCCTTTAGTATATGCAGTTTGCTTTTTTAAAAATAATATAACTTAACAGGTGTGTTTCACAATACATAAAATACAAACAAAAACAAAACAAATGCAGTTTTTGTCTGTGAGTCCAAAAGGAATAAAATGTGAGTTGCCTTCACTATAAACAAAATGAATAAGGAAGGTTTGTGCTTGTCTAAGAGAGAATGGGCAGCAGAAAGATAGAGAGAAATATTTATATAAATTGACTTAAAAATAAGAAAAAAAAAGTTTTAATTCAAACTCAAACTTTCAAGTTTTGAAATGAACTAAAAAAAGTTTCTGTTGCTGAGTTAATTTACTTTTCTTCTTCAGAAAAACTGAAATCTTTGAGATTTTGAAACAAGTGATTCAGTATTTAACAACTGTTCACTGTGGATGAAGAATCGGGTCCGAAGAGGATCTGGAAGTGTTTCTGTATTCAAACAGAAGAGTTCTGGGTCACTCCCAGCATACGTCAGCTGAGTCGTCAGGGGGAGAGACTCTCGGTGGGATCATCCTTCACTGCTGTGGTATGTTGATTAGGGAACAGGTAGATTTTAGATTTCTGCAAAACGAGGTACAACAAGACTTACATGAGTTCAATAAAGTCAGTTTTCATCAGTCACAATTATTTTTCATTATTAGATTCCTTGAAAATAAAATATTACATATATATTTGCTACTGAAAATCAGAACCAGAAATACTTTGTTTCATTATTTAGATTTACACTGAAAAATGTTTGAAATACAGATTTTTTTATAAAGAAGAAAAGTAAATTATCATGAATTATTAGTTTATTTAAAGACTTAATTTAATGAAGAGAGTCGCCCTAAAATTACTTGTGTTCTTACCATTTTTAAAAAGTCTATTTTATATTTGTAGTCCACAGTTCAGAACTAAAATATTGAACTTTTTATATTTTATATATAAACCTATAATGAATATTGTTATGGATTAAACTACCCAGCACAATAATGTACGTAGTGTACAGATTTATGTATTATTAACACAATAATACAGTTAATATGATAAAATGACTCTCTGGAAGACGACATTGTGCATCAATATTTTTATTCAAAATTTTGTACTTATTATTTCTACTTTTACTAAACACTGATTATATGGAAAATTCTTAATAAAAGTTAAAAAAACATACTTAAGCAAATAGCTTTAGTAACTTTAAGTTACATTGATTTCATTTTTATTTGTTCTGTGAAAACAAAATACCTAATAATAAGTTCTTATTCAGGAAAATTATGTCACTTAAAATTACTAGTAAAAACTGCTTCAAAAAGAATATTTTTTATCTGACAAAATTTAGTTTTTATATATTATTTTCAGTTTCAGTACTTTTTTTTGTTAAATTAACTCATCCTGTTA